GGGGGGCCGTTTTGGGGGGGGGGGGGGGGGGGGGAGGTAAGAAGGGGAGGAGTTGGGGGGAGAGAAGAGGAGATGCTCTGCCCCCCCAGAGTGAGGAAAGATCCCCAGAGCAGATGTCCTAGGACCAGGTGAAGCCCACTAGCATGCAGTCTGACTAGATGGAGGGTCGGGGTGGGGGGTCCAAGCTTTCCTATAGCTACATCTGCCCCTCCATAAATGCCTACAGGGGTGCCCTAGAGTGGAGCTTTTTCTCCTTCTCGTAGGTCCTGCAGGGCTTATGCTATAGCTCAGCCAAACTCAGTCTTTTCCCCACTCGCTGCTGAATCTAAAGGAATCTCCTAGAGAGGGGGAATCCATCCCCATCTCCCATCTACAGACCAGAGAGGTAGTAGGGATCCCAGCCACCCCCCTGCTTCCTCCATAGACCCTTGGGAACCTTGCAGGGAGAGAATTTAATGCCCCCAGATCCATCCTGTCTCCTGGGTAAGGGCTCAGCTGTCTCCCCGGCAGCTGCCTGATTAGCGGTGAGCCCATTGCTTTAGCTGTCAAGGCAGCTCTGCGGAGTTGTGTGGTGCTGAGGGGCAGTTGTTGATCAGGCAGGGACATGTCTGCTCCCCGCAGTCCCTGGGAGAGCAGCAGCGTCTCTGACCAGATCTGCCTTGTCTCCCTGTGACTTCGAAGCTCGGCTGGGACCCCTCCGTCTGCCCACGGCCCCCGTTCCTGAGAGCAGCAGCTAGAGGGCTGGTGTAGGCTCAGGAGTCAGGGCCTCCTGGGTTCCTGCCTCTCTGAGGGACTCCTTGTGGGCAAGTCTTGTCCCTGTTCTGCGCCTCGGTTTCCCTGACTGCACAAGGGAGACCCCAGGCGTGTTGTGAGGATGCCGACATTTGGCCAGCCTCAGCTGGTGTGAACCGGCAGAGCGCCACCAAAGTCCATGGCGCTGCAGTGACCTAACTCTGCTGCGCGTCTGGCCTGCTCATACATGTGAGGTGCTGAGACATGACCGTAATGGAGTGCACACCTAGATACATTGCGGGGAAGCCACTCGGTCAGATCTGGGTCACTGGCTGGGAATTCCCTTGCCAGCCCCTAGGCTCAGTAGCAGGAGGTCTCAAGCTCCCCTGTAGTTCAGAGGTTGCTCTGCAGTCTTAGGGTCGGGCCCTAAATCTGGAGGCCCTGTCCAGAATGGGGAAGGGCCGCTCCCCCTCCGGAGTGCCTGGGGTTGCTGAGGTTTATGTCTACGCAGTGGCTAGATGGACGCATTTGCATCAAGCTAGTGTAGGTGCGGTGGGTTGGGCCAGCCGGAGCTGCTGCCCAGGCCATGCAGCCCTGGCTGCCTGCCTGCACTAGGAAGCCCCCTCCCAGCTGCTGTGTAGCCCCTACAGCACTTGGTGCCCCGTGGTTGGGATGCACTACCACGCCCAATACACTGATATAGTGCACAAGGGGGAGAAGAAGGATTCCCTGGCTGTGAAGCCAATGCTCTGACTCAGCTCTCCGTATGGTTCCTTCTAGGATCTGTTTCCCAATCCAAGTCAACCGGCTCCCACGGGAGACGCTGCTGAGCGTCACCCTCTACGCCGTGCCCATCCCGCCTCCAGGAAGCTCCTCCGAGACCAACAAGCAGCGGCGGGGGGCCCGGGTCACCACCCCGCTCTTCAACTTCAGGCAGTACGTGCCCCCTTTGTCTCCCCCTCCTCCGGGCCAGGGGCTGGATGCAAGGGATGGGTTGGCAAGCGGTTCCTGAATACGCCAACTCAGCTGTGCTACCGAACCTATGGAGGGTGTCCTGGGGCCGGCAGCGCCCCACCTGCCTGGCACCAAGATCATGGAGTTGGCCCTTGTGTCAGCCTGTCAAACCCACTTCTCCCATTCTGGAGAGGCTTGGCAACGGAGCCATCTTTGGCCAGGAACACCCCCCCCCCACTCCCGGGTCCTGTCTTTGCTCTCAGCCTCAGCAAAGTGGGTCCCAGTGTCCCAGGCTCTAGATTCATGGTTTCCAAAGCCCGAAGAGACCCTTGTGCTCATCTCCCCTGACCACCTGTGTTCCCCAGGCCAGAGACCTGCTCCACCATAATGCCTAGAGGGAGGGATTCAGAAGAACAGTCGATATCGATTTTAAAAATGGCCGGTAGTGGAGAATCCACCCCGACCTGGTAAATGGTTGCAAATTTACATCTTCTTTCCCCTCTGCATTTACTGGCTTCACCTTCCAGTCACTGGATCATGCTCTCCCTTTCCCTCTGTTACACCCTATCCCAGGGGTGGGCAATAAGCAGTCTAGGAGCCGGAGACAGTTGGCAGGGTTAGCCCCTAACAGGCTGCC